CGGTTCTTTTTTGGTTTGTAGCCAGGTACATTGATCATAAATTTGTGGTCACACTGTGGATTTCTTTTAAAATGTACAATTTTTTTTCCTTTTAAGGCTTATTCGTCTGATGGAAGAAATTATGAGTGAGAAAGAGAATAAAACCATTGTCTTCGTTGAAACCAAAAGAAGATGTGATGAACTTACTAGAAAAATGAGGAGAGATGGGTATGGGGGCTTCCTCCATTGGAGCAGATGTATTAGAGCTGAATTTAGGAGAAGGGCAAACTTAGGTCAGGAGTAATGAATTTGAGTTTTCTGCCAGTGTAGGAAAACTATAACATTATTTGAGGTGAAATTGGAGGGATCTATGATCAAAAAATGGCATAAGTGTTAAATGCTACTATCAGTTAAGTATGAGTCACTAATATAACTTTACTCTAAAATAGGTGGCCTGCCATGGGTATCCATGGTGATAAGAGTCAACAGGAACGTGACTGGGTTCTAAATGGTAAGTACTTCAAATGAAGATTGTACTCTCCCCGACCCCAAAGGATTATGCTCAAGTTAGTGATCATATATATGCCTTGTTTTGCAGAATTCAAACATGGAAAAGCTCCTATTCTGATTGCTACAGATGTGGCCTCCAGAGGGCTAGGTTAGTACAAACTCGAATTCATGGCTTGGTTTTCCAGAAGATCTCCAAATAATTTTTAAAGAAAGTTTATTGCTTTCTTTAACCTCTGCATTTTTTCTAAGTTTTTTTTTCATATAAAGGTGCAGTCTTTGTGGCAAGGCCTAGGCATGACAATCGGAGGACTCGAGGGGGATGGAGGACTAGTGATCGGCTGGCTGCTTCCAGTCGATTAGAGAGGTGAAAAGCTGAAAGTGTGCCAGTAATCTTCAAAAGGCAGAACATACCATCTCTGCCACGTAAACTGTTCTCTCCAGGGGGAACTGGAAGTTATCCTCACAGTTCACTGCAGTTCACTGCCGTGGTATTTCTTCTGTCCCATGCTTTGCATGACTGCCATGGTACAGCATTGTTTCTGACTGTTTGCTGTGATCTGTGAGTCTTTGAGTTTCAGTGAGTTTGCTGAAATGTCGAAGAAATACTTCCAAACTTCAATGTTCAGTGAAATTTTTGTTCAAGTTTGAAATGGAGAGAGCAGCTTTAAAAGGTTCTATAAGCCTTTTACAAATTGGTGAGTACTGGCACATAAGCTCTAGAGCAGGAGCAACTTCCCACATTTAATCAGTGGGAAAAGAAAGCAATGCTTTGAAAGTTCCTCCCTCACCTACACAGTAGTCGTCATGTCGAGACCTGCCAGAGAGAGACACATTCTCAAGTGAATCCTGGCTTCTTGGAAGTGCTTGCCTAGACGAGACACAGTGCATAAAAACAACTTTTGGGGGACAGGTATGTTTTTCTTGCAGCTGCAGTTGTAAGGTCTTGGCAAGACAAGCAGTGTGGCCAGAATTTTGAACATCTGATGAGAGTGTAATGCAAAAGGACCATGTACCTTTTTGTTTGAAGGTCCTCAAAATGAGCACATGAAGAGGTTGCTGTGAACCTTTAAGTGGCCCTACTGCACAGAAGCATTCAGATGTCACTTGATGATTTGTAAGGGGACTTGCTGACGTGGGAATGTGTTAGGGAATACACATCCTTTTGACAGGTTCTATCACTCATTGGGTGGGTAAATAAGACACAGGTGATGTGTGCTTTTTTTAAATTTTTATTTTTAAAGCTCAATGGTATTCCTGCAGGGAATGGATAACCATTTTAACTGTATTTTTTGCAGCCCGTACCTTCTTGGGAATACAATTGTCTAACTTTTTATTTTTGGTCTGGCTGTTGTGGTGTGCAAAACTCTGTACATTGCTATTTTGCCACACTGCAACACCTTACAGATGTGGAAGATGTGAAATTTGTCATCAATTATGACTACCCTAACTCCTCAGAGGATTATATACATCGAATTGGAAGAACTGCTCGCAGTACCAAAACAGGCACAGCCTACACTTTCTTTACACCTAATAACATAAAGCAAGTGAGCGACCTTATCTCTGTGCTTCGTGAAGCTAATCAAGCAATTAATCCCAAGTTGCTTCAGTTGGTTGAAGACAGAGGTTCAGGTAAGATCAATTTTGAAATAAGAAAGGTTGGTGGTTTTAAGTCACATAATTATATGCAAAACCATTTAAGTAGGATTGGCAGGTGAGTAAAAGCCTTCAACAGGACACAAGGTGAAATACTCTACATCTATAGTGAATAAGAGCTATCTTATTCCTTCTGTGTTAGAAATTATTTGTGCTACAGAAATAATCAGTTTGCAATCTTTTTTTCTTGACAGGTCGTTCCAGGGGTAGAGGTGGCATGAAGGATGATCGTCGAGACAGATACTCTGCGGGCAAAAGGGGTGGATTTAATACCTTTAGAGACAGGGAAAATTATGACAGAGGTTACTCTAGTCTGCTTAAGAGAGATTTTGGGGCAAAAACCCAGAATGGTGTTTACAGTGCTACCAATTACACCAATGGGAGCTTTGGAAGTAATTTTGTGTCTGCTGGTATACAGACCAGTTTTAGGACTGGTAATCCAACAGGGACTTACCAGAATGGTTATGATAGCACTCAGCAATATGGAAGTAATGTTCCAAATATGCACAATGGTATGAACCAACAGGCATATGCATATCCTGCTACTGCAGCTGCGCCTATGATTGGTTATCCAATGCCAACAGGATATTCTCAGTAAGACTTTAGAAAGAAAGTATATGTAAATGTCTGTTTTTCATAATTGCTCTTTATATTGTGTGTTATCAGACAAGATAGTTATTTAAGAAACATGGGAAATGCAGAAATGACTGCAGTGCAGCAGTGATTATGGTGCACTTTTTCGCTATTTAAGTTGGATATTTCTCTACATTCCTGAAACAATTTTTAGGTTTTTTTTGTACTAGAAAATGCAGGCAGTGTTTTCACAAAAGTAAATGTACAGTGATTTGAAATACAATGAATGAAGGCAGTGCATGGCCTTCCAATAAAAAATATTTGAAGACTGAATTAAGTGGAAATTGTACTTTATTTTACATATCTAATATCATGTAAAACTTTGCTTAGATGGTGGTTTTTTCTCTTTTTTTTTAATTAAAAACTAAACTGCTTTCAATTACCATACTTAGTTTTGGGAATTGGGGAGATCAGAAGATCTGTTCATATTGCAAGAATTCAAATGAAATTGATTTAGGTAAATAATTTCAGGCTGAATGGAATAATGGTATTCTGTCAGTACCTCCCAAAATAAGATGAGTCATGTAATAGCCTGTTTGCAGAATGGTGAACTGAGATTAAAAGATAGGAAGTCAACTAATACTTTTCATTACGTAGCGTTGTAGGGCACTGTGTAACAAAATTTATTTTCAAACTGGTTAGTGTGAGAACCTGGGTGGCTATTCCTCTTGCATAATTTATCATTCGAAAGTTCCAAATAACTTGGTCTCCCAAAGATTATACTCATGTTCTTGGCTCTGTTGTAAATTACTGGAATGTGGTCAAAACTAAGATTTTACAGTTCTTAAGATGTGGGTGGCAGGAGCTAAATTTTGTTTTCAGTGTTCTTGGTGCAGGTTACAAACAGCTTCTAGTCTCTACATGCTTCCGGGCTCTTACTAGTCAAGATGGGCATTGGATGTCTTTGCAATAATCCAGGACCTCAGGAGCACTTAAAGTGAAGGTGTAATCATATTCGAACACACAAAAAATCCTCATCAAAATTAATGGTTAACCAGGAGAAAGCAACATAAGCAGAAGCACAGTGACTAATAAGTCTTGGGTCAACGTGGGTTTATTGCTAGAAAGATATAGGAAGTGGCTTTACATTTAATTTTGGCTCACCAACAACTCTTCTAATAAATAATGGTTAGAAGTAGGTTTGTGTCTTCCCAAAGTCTGATACATGTTCTTTTGCCAGGAGATGGGGGAGGTATTAATGAGATGATAAATTCTGATTATTAAATGGGGGCTCTAACTGGTTTTTAATGCCTTACCTCTAAAATAATGAAATTCTGTAGGGGGGGAGGGGAATGGTATTTTTAGGAATAATACATTGAAAACTGATCAACCTCTAGTAACAGTTCTAAATAGCATGGTCAGATTGGTTATGACAAAAGCTTTCAGGGTAGGTGAGAGTATTTATTACATATTTTACTGTTATGTTTAATGTGGGCCTTTAAATTTGTAAACATGGTTGTGGGGCTGTGGGAAACATTTACCTATTTATCTTTGAACTAAGTTTTAAAAGACTCCACTTTTTAGCATGTGTTGTGTCCAACCTGTGGTTGTCTTAACTAATAAATGTAATTTTTTTCTCCCCATTCTCTCTCATTTATTTGTGTATATGAGACCACTTCGGTGGGTTTCTCTAGTGTGGGAAACGCACGTTAATGTTGCCTGGTTTTGCAGTTAATGTAATTGCTTTCCAGCAAATTTCAATTTTCTAGTTTGTAAACTCGCACACTTGCATGAAATTATTTTCCGAGGTTGCCTTACACAACGTTACATTAACTGCTCCCGTATTCCATTAATTTAGTTGCCGAACTATTATGCTTTATTTATTAACTGGCCCTTCCTGGTGGTCTAGTAGAATCTAGTAGCTTGTTCCTTTCACCTGGATTAACTTCACAAGGTTTCCCTAACCATTTTAAGGGAAGCGGGAGGGTAGGACTCCGGGGTTTTGGAATCGACCGTTTTCATCTGAGTTGTAGCAGTTTTACACTAGAGTAATCCTCTTAGAGGCCTTAAGAATGGAGGTGGTAAATTCACAGACCTGGTAGGCAGGCAATCCTCGAATCTCCGTTTTAAACGGGCCTTAAGTTGCGTGTTCTGATGAAACCCTGAAAAAAAAAAAATGGTAGAGCAGCTTGTTTATACACTACGCTTCTCAGTGTACTTCCACGTTAAAATGCAGGGCATGTTTAAAACGTTGCTGGGCCCTTCAGCAGGTGGTTCCTCAGGTTCCCAGGTGGTGTAGGTGCTACTAGCCCAAGAGGCACTTGAATCTGAGCCTCTCACTGGTTACACAGCCCCACCCATACCGCAGAGAGCTGCTCCGGCGAGTAAGCAGGATGGATAGTAGAGTTAAAAGGAAGAATTGGGTTTCTAAACTACCACAAAGACTAAAACTTTAAAAGTGGGAACTAAAAGCTTATTTCCATTAACATTGAAACGGTGTTTGGGGGAGTATCTATTTTCATGTCTGATATGCAAAATATGTGGGGAAGGAAAGTAAAGTTGACGCAACATTGGCTACAGCACAACGGTGAAAAATAGATGGGAGTGACTTGATCGATGCCGAGGACAGGTAAAAAACGGCAATGGCTGAAGGACCAGGCTTGACTGAGCTGAGAGAACAAGGCCTAAGTCCGCTTGGCCCAACGGCCGCTGCCGGAACTCGGTGACGCGCTTCCGTGGGCGGGGCCACCTACACGCAAGCTAACTTTCCAAGCAGCTGCGCAGTTGGTTCCCAGGTTCCTACGGTTGTGAACGTTTATTGGAATCACCAGCTAACAAGAAACTGTGGTTCTTAACTCCTGAAGGTGATGCGCTCCGGTTCAGCCGTCAGTGCCTGCCAGAAAGTCTGCAGGAGTCTGTTGTCTGGTTTCGGGGGTCGAGTAGATGGGGGCCGGCCTGAGCGTTTGAAGGAAGGGAGTGGCCCCCTCGGAGGGCCCGTGAGGTCGCACGCGGAGCTACCCGCGGGGAACGAACCAAGAGAAGCCCAAGAGTCTGGAGAGGGGAGCGAAGCGCTGGTAGAGATCTGTCAGAGAAGGCATTTCCTCAGTGGCATCAAGCAGCAGATTAGCCGAGATTCTCTTCTGAGCGGGTGCCACTCCGGCTTTGGCCCTTTGGGTTTAGAGTTGCGGAAGAACCTGGCGACAGAATGGTGGTCCTCGGTGGTGGTGGTCAGGGAGCAGGTGTTTCCCGTAGACGCACTCCACGTTGAATCAGGCCCTTCACTCCCCGGGGACAGTGACTTCAGGTTAGTTTCTGCAGAAACTCTGCGCGAAATCTTGCAAGACAAAGAACTGAGTAAGGAACAGCTAGTAGCGTTTCTTGAGAACTTATTAAAAACTTCTGGGAAACTACGGGAGAACCTTCTTCACGGTATGCTTCATGATTTCCTGCTTCAAAATAGGTGTCGGGGTTGGAAAGGCAATCTCACTCGATTCCGCGAATTGCAGCTGGCCCTTTGTTCACGTGGAAAGGAAGTTACGTGGTTCTCATCTTTTCAAAGTAGTTGGGTATATCGATAGTGCTTCTACGCTGGAGAAAACTGGTCTATGCAGTCGATACTATTCCTTAAAGAATCTGACCGAAGGACCTGGTAACTCAGTTTCACGGGGCAGCCCTATAATTTTAGAGTTAATTGAGCAGCCTAGAATTAGTACCTAAATTAAAGCATACATTTAAATCATTTGTTCATCGTTACTAAAATGTTTGCACAGCCACCCTTCAGTTTTATACACAAAGTTCATTTTTCTAGAGCAAAAAGAAAATGCTCTTCCCCAATTTTTCTTGTTGAAAACTGATCTACAGTCTGTTGTTTTGAGAGCCCTGTAGGTAACTCAAAATAGGACTAATCAAGCTTTATAAGTGACTCTTGAGTGAACCACAGAAACTTATAGGGAACCATTTGCCTTTAAAGTCAGATAAAACATTGCAGAGTTTCTGGGGCATGGAGACTCATCTTTGCAAAATACTATCCTGGCCATTTTTCATTAAGTGGCACTGTAATTTAAAATAACCAATGCCCATGGTTCTCTAAAAATTAGTAACTATATTGTAAGTTGTTAACGATTTCCCTAAGAAAATGAAACTTAAGTAAATGTGGTACTTTTGATTCATATGCTTTATTCCATAGTGACTTGACTTTGGGGGAGTTAAAGCACTGCGCATTACCATGCTCCCAAACAGTCTTTTCTTCCTTATCAGAAAAAGAAACTTCGCTCTCTGTAGGTGTCCATTCATCAAAGCATCTATGGTGTGCCAGACTTTTTCTTGCCTTTAGGAAGCTTAAATCCACCTATTTGCTTAGTCACCCGTTTGCCATTTCCTTCTATTCCCAGTGTTCTTTTTTTATTCCATGTCGGAACTATTGTAGTAGCCTCTACTTATGATTGTTTTTTTTTTTTAATTCTCAGCTATTATGTCCCCAGATATTTTTACTCATTCTCCTCTGTCATCCTGTGTCTAAATAGTTTGTTTTCCCCATCTTGTCAACTTTCTTGAACACAGTCACATTGTAAAGTCTATATCCAATAACTTAGATGTATTTTTTTCTAGTATCTGTTTTTCTCTGGGTTTTTGGTCATTGGGACTTCCTCCTGAAATTCTAGGTAATTTGCATATAAATTGTAGAGGTAAATCAAGGCTTTCAGTGGCATTTTCTTCCTTCTGAAAGGATTTAGTTTTGCTTTTGGCAGGCAGCTGGAGTGGGAGCATACCTTCTTAGTACAACCCAGAGCTAAGTTTATTGGAGGCTGGGCTTCAGTCTTTTCACTCCCCTCTATTCCTAGAGTATAGTATCCCCAGTGAAAGGCTGGGGTGTTTACCAGGGCCCCTCCTTGATGAACCAGGAACTATAATTTTTGTACTTCCCAATTGCATAAGATGTCACGAAGCTCTGCACAGCTCTGCTACTTGAGAATTGGAAAAGTAGCATTAAATGTTGGATTTATCTCCGTGCTCTTCCCTTTTCTCCAAAACTTGAACCCTCAAGTCCTTACTGCCTTGATAGTTCTCCATTATCTTTAAATAGATTTTTTTTTTTAAGTTTCTTGACCCAAGCTTTTTTTGTGTTGTGTTACAAGCTAACCTACTATTATCAGAAGTGGAAATCTCAAGTAACTTTTGAACATAGTGCTGTCATTTAGCGGGGTATAATCCTTTATGTGACTAGCATAGAGAACTACAAAGAAATCTTGAACTTAGGTTTACTGTAAGTAGGAATGTTGGAATTATAATTCTGAAGCTATGTATATTATAAGATAAAGTAAATAGTTGGATAGATTAATGTTATTAGAAGCCAAGATTTTCTCTGTAATAGAAAAGAGATACAAATATAAAAGAAGATAAGAATAAACTTTGTAATGTTAAATTCCAGTTGGCAATATCAGTATGAATTCATAATTTTTAAAAATATATATTTTCTAACTTTCTTCATTGAAAGGGCCTAGAAAAATGACAATAGCAATGAGCACACCTAGTACCCAATATTTGCTTTCTATTGAATAAAATAAACCAGTGCTGGGAGAAATGGCTGATTCCAGGTCTAAGGCAAGGAAATACAAGGTGAGTTGGGGACATTTTATGGTACTAGAAAATAAAGAATTACTTGAAGACTAGTTAGGTGTCATGCCGAAAGGACCAGATGCTGGATTGAAGGAGACTCCCACTGGCTAAATTTGGGACAAATGGAACATTAAAATAAATAGTGATGGTAATGGATCATAACACAATAAATAAGATAAAAAATTTAAACCACAGTGTTAACCAAAAAAGGAATTTGAGGCTGCTGTTGGATGGAAGAGGTGGAGAAAATTGTTTTTATAGAAACTGCAATAAATGTAGAGGGGAAAAATAGAAAAATCACCATGTTTTGATTTTGTACTCTTCAAAGGTATAATAATTGATTCAAGCAAGGCTCATCAGTAGAGTTTAAAATGTAGGTGAAAGATTGTTGGGGAGCAAGGTATTGTTGGGGAGTTACCTTAGTCAGGTAATTAAATTTGTTTCATTAACAGTGGGATGATTTGACATTATGTTGCTCCCGTTAGGATGCAATAAGACACACACACATTAACTCTAGTATTTATTTCTGCTAAAAATAATTAAATCATAAGGAAGCAATCAGACAAATGTCTAATGTGAGATAATCTGACTGTCTTGGACTCAAAAGTCAGTGTCATTAAGAGCAAAGTTAGGGAAGTAGGAGTCAGGAAATGTTCTCGATTCAAAGAGATTAAAGAGATTTAGTCAAAATTCAGTGTATGAATCTGGGGGGGAGACAACAGCAGTAATGGACATTTTGTGTGATAATTGGAGAAAATAGGATATCGACTATAAGATGAAATTATGGCATGTTTATTTTTATGGTGTAAATATGGTATATAGAAAATATTTTAATTTTAGGAGAGGAACGCTGAAATGTTTTGGGAGTGAACAAAAATGTGGCAAAAATATTGACAATTGGTGCATCTGAGTGAAGGGTTAACTGGTGTTTATCATACTGTTCTTTCAACTTGTAGATTTGAAAATCTTCAAACTAAAAACCTGGGGGAAATTACCTAAAATTAAGTGGTAATTAAGCTCTACCTTAATAAATAACTCCATGCTACTTGTACTGTTGTGTTAGCATTGTTATTAGTTTGTATACGAGTTAATCAAAAAGATCTGGGTTTATAGAATTGATTTACGTGATGATTGATTTATCTTTTGACAGGTGCCTTGGAGCACTATGTTAATTGCCTGGATTTGGTAAACAAGAGGCTGCCTTATGGCCTTGCTCAGATTGGAGTGTGTTTTCATCCTGCTTCTAAGCAGGCCGCTGATGGTGTTAAAAGGTACAGAAAAATGGCAAATAACTCGGCCTTGCGTTTAACTAGTCAAGCACTAATTATTTTCATTTTGAGATACATTATATAATTTTTAGATAAGTAACTATCTAATATTTCTGATATCCAAAGAATGGGTGAGAAGATGGAAGCTTCGCTGGTATGGTTTACTTCAACACGAACTGCCAGCCAGTGGCTAGATTTCTGGTTACGTCATCGACTCCTGTGGTGGAGAAAGGTACTACAATAATCCCCCTTAATTCAATAGTTATTAAGTGTAGGGTCTTAATGTGTCAGAGGTAACACTTCTCTATAATAAGTGAAAATTTTTTGAGATAGCTATGTTACAAGTGACAGCTATGCTAAGTCAACAAATACAAATAATCTCTGTAATAATTTTCACTGTTCCATATAACAAAATTACTTTGGTAAAGAGATTGGTTAATATTTCTCTCTTTCTCAGAAGCGTTTGTTGCTAAGTGTTTACATTTAAAGTAAAGTTCAAATCCCTCACCTGGCTGTCCTGGCTGGTATGAGTTTGACCCTTGTTCACTCTTTGAGCTTTAACTTTTGTTCCCTATCTCCAAGAACTCTCCACGTTAGTTGCAATGGTTCTATAATTTGTAATCAAGTTTTAGTATATGCTGAACAGGAGAGAGTTGAAGTAAGCAGTTTTATCTTTCTCCAACTCTTAAACTCCCCAAACACTCACCTAAATTAAGTGCAATAGTCATAAATAATCAAGCTCTTTACAAAAGATAAGAGTGGTGAGTATGTGGTACTTTCTTCATCTCACTTAGCTCTTGGTTGCCTTCCCCTCTTAGTAATTAGGATGCATGTATATACACACATGTACATATAATCAACAGTTTTCTCTGTAGTTTTGATTTGGGCTTGACCATTTTCATTCAGTTGCTGCATGAAATGTCTCTAGCAACTTACTTTTTAGCACGTACTTTAATAAATTAATAAGGCAAACCTAAACTTTCTTTTCTAGTTTGCCGTGAGTCCATCCAACTTCAGCAGCAGTGATTGTCAGGATCAAGAGGGACGAAAAGGAAACAAAGTTTACTACAATTTTCCCTGGGGAAAGGAGCCAATAGAAACTCTGTGGAATCTAGGAGAAAAAGAACTTTTACACATGTATCCTGGAAATGTGTCCCAATTACATGTATGTTTTACCATGAACTCCTAATGTATCCTTTACCCAGATTCTCTGTGATCATTTCTGAATTAATTGATCATAAATTGCAGACATGGGGCACATGACCTCTTAATACTTCAGAATGTATTTCTCGAGTGGAAGGACACTCACCTACATAACCACAATGCAGCCATCAAAATGAGGAAAGTAACAGTAATCCACCATTACCATCCAACCCACAGAACCCTTCAAATATACCAGTCACTCCAATTTGCCCTTTATAGGTCCAGGATCTGGACTAGGATCACGTGCTTCATGTAGTTGTTGAGTAGCCTTAGTCTCTTTCAAACAAACACTTCTTTGATCTTTCCTTGTCTTTCACGACCTTGATTTTTGAAGAGGACAGGCCAGTTTATAGAATGTCCCTTGATTTGAGTTTCTTTCATGTTTTCTCAGCCACAGAAATGGTGCTGCCCCCTTCAAATTCATTATACAGGAAGCATGTGATAAAATTTGTTATTGGTGATGGTAACTTTTATCACTTGGTGATGATGGTGCTACCAGGTTTCTCCAATGTAAAGTTGATTAGTATTTTGTACTCATTCATTCATGAGTAATCTTTCGTGGGCAGATAATTTAAGACTATGTGTTTCTCACAAGATTGTGACCTACCAGTCGCAGCATCCACTTATGATTCCTGTCCAGATCAATTATTACCATGAGGGTTGCCAAATGATGACTTTTAGAAAATTAATTTGATCATGTCTTTGAAATTTATTAATCAGTATATGTTTTGATTTTATAAGTCTAAAATAATGTGATTTTAAGAGATAGATAGTTCTACTAAAGGCTACTTTATTCTCGTTCTGCTTTTCTTTGAAGGGGCGAGATGGACGAAAAAGTGTGGTTCCTTCTGTTCTGTCTGTAAATGGAGATCTAGACCGAGGCATGCTGGCTTACCTCTATGACTCTTTCCAGCTAACAGAGAATTCCTTTACAAGAAAGAAAAATCTCCACAGAAAGGTACTTTCAGTGTTCCAGAGATAGACTTGGGAAATTAAAAATATAAGTCTCCTTACCTTGGTTTTCTTTTTTAATTGAATTTATTTGGAGTGGTATTAGTTCATAAAATTATATAGGTTTCATTGTTCCTCTGTTTTTAATGTTGGTTTGCTTGGTTTCTAACATAAAATGAATACTAATTATTTTTGGTGAAAGTACAGTTTAAGTATTTTTTAGTTTTTTTTAGAATCTGGCCACAGGAATAGTTCTATTCTCACAGAATAGAACAAGACATTCCTGTTGGGTAGTCCAAAGGCATTTCTAGTCATGAGGAGCTGGGCAGTTCTCTCTGATTTTTAGCCTTTGAGCCTTTCCATTGATGGTTCCATCTGTATCAGAAGATGAGTGTTAAGTAGGAGTAAATATGACTGACAGCAAGACTTGCAATATTGACATCTCTGCTTCTGGTCTATTTCCAAGTGGCTGGCCACTGGAACACAGGAACTAGACATGGGTCTGGGTCAAGGGAAAGGCTTACTTTAGGACAAACAGTTTTGAGCGGGGCTCAAAATCAAGAGACAGAAGGGGTTGAAGCTGTAGGAAAGAAAAGAAATGACTAAGGAATAAGATTTTGGAAGAAGCTAGAGGGATCAAGACAGAATCAAGAGCACAGGTGGAGGGATTTGTCTGAATAGGAGTTCTTTGAAACGGGGAGGAAAGATGATATAAATAGGCTACTAGTTACCCTGTGCAGGGAGTTTTACTCATACTCCCTTCAGAACTAGGAGGCGAGATTATTAGATTAAAATGTGGAGGAGTAGGGGTTTAAGTGGCAAGAGTTTAGAATAATCATATTCCCCTTGAACGTGAAAGGGAGCTGGCCCAAATTAAAAGCTTTAACATTTTGAGTGTTCTGCTGGGATTGGAAGTCACCCTGCATAATTGAGTGATTGATCATGCCATTCTCGGTTAACCTGATATAGCCATAGAGAAATTGAGGTTATAGAACTGTTCTGGGGGGTTGGGATTTACAGGGTGTCTCTAGCATACAAACAAGGGGGATCCTTTGTTTCTCTTCTACCCCACATCCAAACCATCAGCAAAACCTATTCAACTCTACCTCAAAAATATAGGGTGGTCCTACACAATGCCCGTTTCTTGCTTTTTTAAAAAAATGTTTGAATTTATTTTTTAGAGAGGGGAAGGGAGGGAGAAAGAAAGGGAGAGAAACATATATGTACGGTTGCCTCTTGTGCACTGCCTACTGGGGACCTGGCCTGCAACCCAGACATGTGCCATGACTGGGAATCGAACCAGCTGCAACCCTTTGGTTTGCAGGCCAGCCCTCAATCCATGGAGCCATACCAGCCAGGGCTAATAATGCGCCTTAATACAAAATCTCTTGTTACAAAATCATAAGCATGTAATTCTGTAACATAACAATATTACACTCAATGACACCATATCACACCATATGACATTTTAGGTGAAATGTTCAAATTAAAGCTGTAAACTGTTACACCCGTTTTATTACCCTGCCAACCACACTCAAGCAGGCCTTACTTCTGCCAGACCCTGTATATCCTGAATCTGACCATTCTTCCCACCTTCACTCCTTCCTCTCTGATTAGGTTGGTTAAGTGACCGACATTCCCTCTTTCTCATGCTGAATGGCCCTTTTAAAAGGTACGCATTACTTTGCCCCTCTGTGCTCCAGGAAGGTCCAGGAAGCTCCTGGTCTCAGAGGAAAAAGCCAAAGCCCCTAAAATGTACTACGGTTTCCTTTTTGCCCTCTGTGTACTACTATACTCTCCACGTCACTTGATCTGCCCTGGCAGCACAGACCTCCTTGCTTCTAGAACATGCCAGTCGTGCTCCTAGCTCAGAGCCTTGTCATTTGTCCTCCCCGTTGCCTGGATTGCTCTTCCTCGGATAGCCACATCTCTTGTTCCTCAGCCTCCTTCCCAGTCCTTGTTCCAGTGTCACTTCAGAGAGGAGACTTTCTCTTTCCACTTACTTAAAATTGCAAACAGCCCTCCCCAACCTACCCCCTTGCCAGCATTTCCTATCCCATCGTTTTTTTAGCATTTACCACATTCAGATATATTATTGGGTTATATTTTTGGGGTTTATTAACTGTTTCTCCCATCTTGAAAGACATGGATTTTTGTCTCCAGCACCTAGAAGTAGCCATTCAAGTTTTTGTTGAATGGTTAATGAATGAGAAGAGTGGTGGGTTTTATTAAGAGAAAGTCTAAATGATAAGCCACATGGCCCCAGCTGGGTAGACAAGGCATCGATGCCAGGAAAGGGCGTTTTGGTTGATGGAAAATGGAGTTGTCAGAAAATGGGACAGTATCAAGTGAACTTATCTCTGCAGAACATCTAAGTGGAGAAATCCAAGAGCAGCTGGATATAGACAGCTGAATACATCCTTACAAGATTTTTTATGACCCCCCCCAGCTAGCTTTCGTTTTCATACAGAAAATTTTGCTGTGTAAAAAGCTCCATGTTTGTTAGTGCTTGTGTTTTACTTAAATGTGTTGTTGCCTTCCCTCCCTTCAATTGCTTTAGGTGCTTAAGCTTCACCCTTGTCTAGCCCCTATTAAGGTTGCTTTGGATATGGGAAGAGGCCCAGCAGTGGAACTAAGACAGGTGGGTTAAATGAGTTTTAATGTCATGATTTGAATTATAACCATTATTCCGTGTAAATGAGGAGTTTACGATTTAAATTTTTATTTTGATTATTTGCTTAAAAAATTTAACTATGGGGAGGGGTGGGGGAAAAGGCAGAAAACTGTACTTGAATAATAATTTTTAAAAAGTTATAAAATACATGGAGGATGAAAAAATATTTTTTAACTAATGAACTGTGGATCAATATTATGGTTAATAATAAATAATTCAAAGTGTGGTATATTAAAGAAGATTAATACAATTTGGTGGACTTTGCTGTTGATGTCATGTCCATAGTTGCATTTCTTTATGATTATGCACAGTTTTGGTAATCAGAATATTTGTACAGATGTTGAGTGAATTTCTTTTTGTCCTCTTCCCTTTTTAACTTAATACTTTTGATACTTGCTGGTATAAGCATAGATTCTAGATCAGTAATCTTCTTATGATTTTTTTCCTAATCTCTTTGGTCTAAATATCCTGGAGAAAAGCCAGGAGTGCTGTTTTCTTTCTTTCCAGAGACCCCTGCAGCAGTCCTCATTTCAGTTTGGGTGGCTGAGACCCATCTAGGACCTGAGTGAGGGAACAAGAAAGATTCACCCAGATTTCTGCCAGGGCCCCTGTGGAGAGGTCAGGGAAGGTGGGGATGGTCAGCTCAGGGAAAGAGAAGATAATATTTTAACTTTCACTTTTCTCTGCAAGGGTGGCAGGTTACTCTTGTAGATAGCAGGTTCCTAGGTTTTGTTGGGTTTTTTTTCTGTTTTCCTTTTTTTTTTTTTTGCTTGAAGGACAAAAAAAAAAAAAAAAACAAACCCCTGTTCCCTAGATTTTTGTCATTAAAATTGCTAGCCTTATTTTTTTGTTGATTTGTTTATAATCATATAGTAGTATTTTGTGCCTTGGATGTTTTTAACTTACCAAAAAGGTACTGTATGGTATATCTTAAACTTGTTTTTCATTCTTTTGCTTCAGCAGTATGACAGAGAATTCTTATGCATATAACTTTCTGGACCGTGCAAACATTTTTGCCAGTTCATACACAGGGACGGGATTTTTGGGTTAGGTGCATATGTATCCTTAATTTCACTATGTCAGCTAGATTGCTCTCCAGACCAGCTGCACCTATTTGTACTCACTCATACCTGCGGTGCGAGGGTTCTTGTTTCTCCGTGTCTTCAGCGCTTAATCGTGCTTTGAGCTTTTTTCTCCTTTTTTACCTTCCACTAGAAGGAGCAAAATTTCACCTGGAAACCTCTAACTTATTAAAATCCATTCTTGTATTTATTTTTCCCTGTTAATTTCTTAGATTTATTAATATCTATATTCTCATCTATCCCCAAATATCAAATACCTTAACAACTATTTACTTCACTCTGTATGGTCTTTCCCTGGGAACTTGTTGGAAATTCAAATTCTTGGTTCCTCAGGTCTGCTGAATCAGAAACTCTGGGAGTGAGGCGGAGGGACGTGTTTCGACATGCCAGCCCTCCAGGTGATTCTGGTGCAGGCTGAAGTTGGAGCAGCAGCGCCCTTGTCCAGGCACAGACCCCAGTGGGGAGGCCGTGCTGCCGAAGTCTATGTGACTGGAGGCCAGGGGCACTTCTAACCTCTTATGTCAACAGAGCCAAATGGGAGAAATCCTGCTCCAGTGTTTTAGCTCCAGATAGTTGAGGGCATTGAAATTTTGCTCTGTTTTGCTTCACTGTTGCTTGTTAAGAAAACATTAAATTTACTATGTTGTTTATTCAGTATTCTGTACTTCCAGTCAGGCTTTTGTCTCCAACATTCCACTGAAACTAATCAATCATCTTTCCTTCTTGAAGCATTTTCTGTAGTTGGCTGCAGGAATATCCCTCTCCTGGTTTTCCTCATACTTTTCTGGTGACTTCTGCTTAGTTTTTTAAAACTCCTGGCTCTTCCTTCTCTTCCTGACACGATAGTGAAACCCTAGGGTTCAGTTCTCGACTCTCAGATAAGTTTAGAGGTAACATAAACTTTTGGACTTAACTGTTTTCCTCTGATAAAGTCTATTTTGGTTTTGTTTGTGTTTTGAATGATAATGATCATAATAAAAATTCTTATATGTAGAATAAAATTTTCAGAGATTTGCATTTTCAGAGAAAATATATAATATATAAATTATAAATAGTATTATCACATAATTAAAAGAATTTGTGCCCATTTTAAAGATTGAAAAGGATGATTTGTGGCTTCACAAAAATAAACTAGTCACTCTAGCTACTTTTATTTCTTTCATATTTGAAGTATTTTCTTCCCAGGTTTGTCAAGGGCTGTTTAATGAATTACTAGAAAATGGGATTTCTGTGTGGCCTGGTTATTTGGAAACTTCACAGCCCTCATTGGAGCAACTTTACTCAAAGTAAGAATTGTCTTCCTTTTTATGGAAACATTTTATTCCATGTTTAAAATGATGTTTATTTTATGAGTAATAGTAACCTTTTGAAACTGTATATATATGTATAAATATAATTTTAAAGTATTTCTTTCTAACTTCCTCGTTTACATAACCACATACCCTTAGTTAATTGCTATACCCGGGAACAGCGTCGTTCATCAGGTATACCTGAACATGTACCACATGCAACTTCAGACTTAATGTCATGAAGTATGTATACCTGAGTTTATCGATTTATCAGGGGTTGAAATTATGTATGTTGTATGCATTTGTTGAGTTGGGACTGCCTTTTCCTTGCTGGTGTATGGTTCATTCTGAGGCTGAGTGGAAAATAATTTCATCCCAGAGGACAGAAAACTCGTCTCCTTAGTGATCAACACCTCTGTTGATACCTGGTTGCTCAAGACTGAAACTTGGATGTTTCATCCTTAGCTCCTCCCCCATCCTTATTCTCCACATCTAGTTTGTCACTAAATGCTGTCAGCCTGCCTCTTAAATACATTTCAAATCCATATCTCTCCATCTTTACTGCTACTACCCAGGGTAAGATCAGCAGTATCTCTTGGCTGGGTTATTGAAGTAAGCTCCTGATTGATCTCCCTGTCTCTAGTCTCACCCTCTGCTATTTCATTAAGTTCTATTTTTTAATAAAGGACTTCTTTTCTCTTTTGGGTTTATTTTGGGTTTTCCTTTTTTTTTTTAAGGTTTTTTGGGGGGGGGAGTTTGTGTTGAATACATAACTTTTGACTGAAAGGTTTCAGGCTTTGTGTTTTGCTCCGTGGTTCTCTAACATGTTAAAAGACACCTTTCAGATGATGTCTAAAGAAAAGTAGGTTGCTATGGATAAAGCAACTTTAATTGTTTTATCATATAAAATGAAGTAGACGTATTTAAACTTTCTTGGTTCTGAAATCACATCCTTTGTGTTACGTGGACATTGTCAAGTTATAGTTGTTCTTCATGTGGTGAAGGCTTTATTGTTTTAGCATATTTTTATCAAAACATTAAGCACTTACTATGTTTTCTGTATGTTGGTACGATGGTGAATAAGACAAAAGATTTCTGTTCTTAGGCAGCTTATATTCTAATGGGATAAAATAGACAATAAACAAGGAAATAGATAAATAAGATAACTTTGTTACAGTCCCACCAAGTGAAGAAACATTAATGAGATCGTGTGACTGGTTAAAAAGAAAGGAGGCCAGGCCAGTGTGGATAATTCAGTTATTGCTGAACTAGAAACTCTAAGTTAGCATGCAAAGTTACAGTATCAGGCATGATTTTGGTATGATTTGCTGAGCACTGGAATTTTATTATAATAGCATTATGAGAGTCTTTAAAATAAATTTCTTGGACTGTATCAAAGTACCAAAAGGCTAAAGGTTAATCTGAGATTTACCTATAATATCACACCAAATGGTGTGTTGAGGTACCACTGTTTTCAAATTTTATTGTCTTTTATGACTTTTCAGCTATTACAGTAAGTCAGAAACTTTCTGAAAATTTACTTTGAATGTGATTCAGAAACTTGAAAAAGGTGGGTTTTGGTCCAGCTCTCAAGCCCTGCCTTTGAGTCTTGCGACTCTTGAAAGTGGTAATGAAAGTAATCTAAAGTAATTAAAACTGGTAATGTGACAAGTTTACAATTTACATGTGTACTCATGTATGTTGTTTAACTACTTTTTTCCTTAGGTATGATGAAATGGGTATCCTCTTCACAGTTTTGATTACTGAAGCAACTTTGGAGAATGGATTAATACATCTGAGAAGTAGAGATACCACAATGAAGGAAATGATGCATGTATCCAAAGTAAAAGACTTTTTAGCTAAGTATATATCATCAGCTAAGAATGTATAGATTTTAATATTGGCCTAATAAATATTTGTCTTTTCTAATTCGGTTGTCTTACATTAACTTAGATTGTTTGTTAGCCCCTTTGCACTTATGGACATTTTTGGTGCTTTTTTAAAAATTCATTTTTATTTCTTGTATTTCTTGTTGTATTCCACTGTATAAGGACTATGTTCAGCTGCAAGAAACAAAAATCCTGCTCTACTGGATTAAGCAAATTGGAATTTGTTTTTCTCATAAAAAGAAACCAAGGTGGGGGATACACTGTCCAGAATTGGTACAATCTTTTCCTCTATAGTTAGAGACACAGGCTTTTGTTGTTTTTCTGTTCCACCGTTTATAATATGTCAGATTTTATCTTTATACTTGTTGCTTAATGGTCACAGGGTGGCTGCTGTATTTCTAGCTTTCTCATCCACATTCCAGTTAGGAAGAAAATCAAAAGAGGCAAGAGCTAGCCAGCCAAGTCTCTTCCTCCTATTTTAATTAGGAAAGTAAAACCATTCCCAGATATCCCAATCAGAAGAGTTGTTGATGTTTCATTGGTCAGAACTTGGTCATATGGTCATTCCTAGGCTAATCACTGTTCAGGGGAATGAGAATATAATGATTAATTTGGATCAAACATAATTTATCTCTTGGGGCTACAGTAGTGTCTTAATCTCTCTGAAATGGGTTTTGTTTTCAGGAAAGAAGGAGTCTTGTATGTTCAATACGCTTGTGTTAATTATATTATTATTATCAACCTAACAAAAATTTCAACTAATAATTTGTGTAAAGTATCTTGAGCCCTGGCTGGTGTGGCTCAGTGGATTGAGTGCCAGCCTACGAACCAAAAGGTTACCAGTTTGATTCCCAGTCAAGGCACATGCCTGGGTTTCAGGCCAGGTCCCAGGGTAGGGCATGTGAGAGGCAGCTGATCAGTGGATCTCTTGCACATTGATGTGTCTCTCCCTCTCCCTCCCTTCCCCTCTCTCTAAAAGTAAAATTTTAAAAATCTTAAAAATATATTAAAAAATATCTTGAAAGACTAACTGGTTGCACATTTTTATGTTTTGATGATTATTTTTTGATATCATGCAGAATTTTGTACACAAACATGCAGAATAGTGTAATTAACCCCATGTACCAACAACCTTCAACCCATGACCAGCTTTGCCTCACCTCCCAATACACCTTCCCATGTTATTCTGAAGTAGATTGTAGCTACCACTTTATTTGTAAATATTTTAGTTAAGGATCTTTTGTTAACCATTATCACACCTAAAAAAATTAACACTAGATGATACTAATGAATTATAGACAGTTTCCTTAGGTATGATAATGGTATTATGGCTTAAAAAAAATCCTTACTTAATAGAGACACTTAAATAATTTTGAGTGAAATTTCCCAGTTTTAACCAAAAAAAAGTGGTGGATTATAGAAGTAAGATAAGAACAACACTGAGTTGTCAATGCTGGGTGATGGGTGCATGGGTGTTTATTGTACTGCCTCTCTTTGTATGCGTGACAGTTTTCATAATAGAAGTTTTCTTAATTATTTACTATCAAGTATTCAGTTTCTAATTTGTATTATTTGTTTGGGTGAGAATTTAAATAACACCGTTATGTTGAAATTGGTCATTAGGTCTTTTGGCCTCTCTTAGCTTAGAGATTCTCTCACTCAGAAATCGGATTGTTTATTACAGGGTCTTGCCCTGCTTGGGTTTTACTACACCCCCAGGGTATAGTTTAGTTAACCTGTTCTTCTAGATTGGAATTTGACTCCAGAGGCTCGATCAGCTTTTAAGTTCATTTTTGGGAATGAGATGATTTCATAGGTTACTGTGCTCTCCCGTCAGGAGTCAGTCCTGTCTGGTGGTTTCTTTTGGGGGGATGCTAGCAGTCATTGATCAATGCCTAGATTGGTCAGTTCATTGGAGGTGACAAAGTGGTGGTATTCTGATTCTGTCTTCTTCATTCATCGGCTAGAATATTTCTACAAGGGAAAATATGTTATACTGTTCGCTTAGAGGTATGGAAAAGGTTTGGGATAAGTGTTGGATTCATCCCCTTTAAAGTTGATTTTTTTTGATGCTCAAGTTATTCTACCTTTGGCCAATGGGAGCCTTTCAATGTGGCTTCGAGTCCTTTTGACCTGTAGTAGTCTTTGATAGTTTGCTTGTTAGTATCTCACACAGAGATTGTGCATTTCACTGTTTCCCCAAGGAGACCACACACTGGGTACTAGGGATACATATTTTTAGAAGGTGTTTTTGTTTCTAGACCTTTTCAGAGCTAGCACATATATGAGTGTGTGTGTCTGTGTGTGTGTGTGAATCATTTTTATTGCCATATAATTTACAAACAAAATTGACTTACTTTAAAGGTACAAATGCAGGTTTTGACAAATGTGTAACCACCACCACAATGACAATATAGAACATTTCCATCACTGAAAAAAATCCTCTTACACCCCTTTAGGACTGTAGGGTTTTAACTTACCTCCTCTATCACGCGTCTGTGTCTCCTCCCAGGGCGGTAACCCCCATTATCAAGGACCCCGAGGATGACGGGGTGAGGGCACGGTGCCACATGAGCTCATTTGCTTTACCTCATTGTAATCACAGCAGCCTCAAGTGAAAGCCAGTTACCACTGTATGTCTACTTAAAATCTTAAGTTTCATTTTTGCAGTTTGATGTTCAGTCTCTAGTTCTATAACTGTGAGAAACTACAAAGTTCATTTTTTAGAAGTGACTTTGCTGAAGAAAATCTCAGTGCTACTCACGGGTCCTTTTATTCAGGTACCTTGTCTTAGGGACCTCAGCCTTCACAGGCTTGTACTCGTCATCGCAGATGATAGGATGCTTAAAGAGGCAACATAGGACCACTTTGGAAAACAGGGCGGCATTGTCTAGTTAGGTTGGAGATAAACGTACCCCATGACCCATGCGTATTCAACATAATTGCATGCACATGGGAATCAGGTCCCTGGCATAAGAATAGGCATATTCTTTGCATTATTTGCAGTAGCCCCAAACTAACAGCCACCCAGATGTCCCATGAAAGGGTCGTTGGGGAAATGGGTTGCGGGTGGGAAGGGGCCTGCAGACAGTTTCTGGGTTGCTGATGGCATTCTATCACTAATGTTCACCTGATGACGATTTATTAAACCATATGTGTATTTTCATGCATTTCCATATATTGTGTGTGCTATTTCACAGCAAAAAAATGTTTAAAGAAGTAGGTGGATTTGAAAAACAACCGAAGTAAAACTTCTGGACATGAAAAAAGTGGATATTCCTTTTCTTCTTCCCTTCCTAAACAATTCAATGCAAAAGCTGGGGCGGGGGGCACGGAGGGTAGACACTGGCTGTCTGTGCAGGGGTGAGGCGGAGCTGGGTAAAGAGCTGGTTGCAAGCACTATACAAGGATAATTACACAAAGCGCTGAAAAGTACCTGGTATGTGCTCAACACACAATAGTTATTGTCATTACTATAATGGTTATAAAGGGAATGTTGAGAAAGGGCGTACCAGCCACCTGTGTGTCCTGTGTCACATCCTGGCTCGCTGCATCTGCAGCTTCACTCACTTCACGTGGACAGTTTGTGCTGCAAGGGTACATTACAACACATGTCATTCATTTCTGCCCTGGGACTTTTCAGTGCCCTGGACGAGGCACTAATGGAAGCTTGTTTGAAATGAACACATGCACAGCTCAGAAGTGGGTGTGGGTGTGGGGCGGCCTTCAGCCAATGGATAAATGTTCCTCACTGTTGTCCTCAAGTGGACAATTCTGGGAGGTGGTGTTTTCCCTCCTCAGCAGGTTTCAGTGGGATCAAGCCCCGGTTACCCACAGCACTGCTCAACTCAGCAGTACATCCTTGGTTCCCCCAGTCACCTCCCAACTAAATTATTTGCATGGAGGGCTTTATCTCAGGCTCTGTTTTCAGGGCTAGCCCAGGATAAGACAGGGTATTAGCAGGTCCTAAAAAGCAGCCCTGGGAAAGGGAAATTACTTTCTGGGTGGATGACAAGGATTCTGTTGCTGGTGGCAAGGGGGTTAGTGAAAACCCTTGCACACCATAGCCTCACAATTACCAAGACTTCATACCACAGAGCTAGGTAGCAAGCACTAGGTTATGCAATTCTAGCACTTGGAAGATAGCAGACTATGGTAATCATATGGATTATGGAGTTGGTTGGCTTTTACTAACTGCTTTAGAGGCTTTGCAAGGAGACAGTGAGGGGCTGTTGATGGAGGGCATGCTGTGAAACTCAGCAGCGTTCTGATTGGACCTCAGGCCCTTGGAAGGCCTTTACAGGAGCAAATGCAGTTACCAGTAGGGTCACTCATTTGCTAGCCCCTCCCCACCCCTTGTGTTGGCTTCCGATTTCTGTTTCACTCGCCCTGGGTCCTCCTGCTTCCTGGGATCACCTCCCATATAAATGACCTGCACCCAATCCTTGTCTCAGCTCTGCTTCAGGAAGGAGCTCAGGTTAAGATGAAGAAGCCAATGGTGGCCCAGATAACCAAGTTTATGACTTCAAAGACTTAAAGTTTTCTCAGGGGAGCAGCCAAACAGCATGACTCAGAGTAAGCATCATCACACTACAAATAGCTAGCTTTGAGTTCTTATTATATTCCTGGCCCTATTCCAAGCCCTTTATATTTGTCACCTGAATTAACTCTCACAGTAGGTCCATGACATAGGTATTATTCCTCATTTGTCCCCCATTTTTAGAGGGTTGAATGGTGACTCCCCCAAAACATACGTCCAAATCCTAACTCCTGGAACCTGCGATGTCACCTTATTTGGAAAAAAGGGTCTTCGAGGATGTAATTAGGTGAAGGATCTTGAGATGAGGTCATCCTGGATTATCTGGCTGGTACCTAAAATCTTGTGACCAGGACGAGAATGGCAGAGGAAGTGAAGGCCCGGGAAGACCAAGACAGAGACTGGAGTGATTCTGCCACAAGCCAAGAAGCACCAGGAAACACCAGAAACTGGGAGAGGCAAGTAGGGGTTCTCCCCTGGAGCCTTCGGAGGGAGTGTGTCCTGCTTGATTTTGGACTTCTGGCCTCCAGAACTGTGAGAAAATAAATTTCCATTTTAATCCACCAGTTTATGAGAAATTGTTAGCACAGTCCTAGGAAACTAATCCATTCTCCCTTGTCCCCCAACTCAACTCTGGGCTGATTTGTCCACAGAATACTGATGGGAAATGCAGCACTTACAGGCATGCCTTTGATATTAGCTAAGTCTTGAGGACTGAGAAAGTCCTTGAAAATTGCTATAAATATTTTTGCAGCCTCCCAAAATCTGAGAGCAGGGGTAAATGGCAGTGAACAATCAGTGTGTACTTGCTGAGTAGTCTTGCCTGCCTCTCATGGTGACGGTGGACACCATTTCTACAGACACATTTTCCAGACCACTCCTTTCATTTTAATTTAGGTGTGGGTTTTTGCTTTGTGTCTTTGCTTCTGAACTTTCACTGGGCTTGGGGGTGGGGAAACCAGAACGGAGACCATTCTATATGCTTCCAGGATGCACTTCTGAAAAGCACAGTGGTCTAACAATTACTCTTTTTTTTTAAAGTTTATTTATTTATTTAGTAGAGAAGGGGAAGGGAGGGAGAGAGAGAGGGAGAGAAATATCAGTGTGTAAGTGATACCTTGATTGGTTGTCTCTTGCACACCCCCAGCTGGGGACCTGGCCTGAAACACAGGCGTGTGCCCTGGCTGGGAATTGAACCCGGAACCTTTCGGTTCGCAGGCCAGCATTCAATACACTGAGCCGCACCAGCCCGGGCTAACAAATGCTCTTTTTTAAATGATGTGGAAATGGAGAGAATGGTCCAAGTGTAAAAATAGCAAAAGCATTTAAAAACTGTCACCAGTCAGGATCCCACCTGACGAAACTGTTGTCTGATGCTAGGATTGGAGGTACCTGAATGCACTAAAGGAAGAGTGTTTAGTCAGGAAAAATACTGATTCACCTTAGGTAACCGGGAGAAACACTTTGAAGTGTCAGTCAAGCTTGCTTTTCCTTCATGGAAATCAGCTTACCCTGAGATGTAGTTTGTATCTTTGTTTCACAAGATGATTTCAGAATAGACATACTCAGTTTTACCATTATTACAGGCTTCTGAAATATAAAAAGAAATAATTTAGTAAATTTAGGATATATATTCATTGACTCTCTAAAAAAAATCCTATTTTAGTAGCTGGGTGGACTGACAGAATCAAGTATTAACTGTTTGTTTCTGGACTATCTCAACTCATTCTTTAAATTATTTTAAGTTAAAAAAATTTCAATTACAGTTTACATTCAATATTATTTTACTAGTTTTAGGTATATAGACTAGTGCTTAGATAATACACTTCACGTAATGTTCCCCCAGTATTTCCAGTGCCCACCTGACCGCCCGCAGTTATTACATTACTGACCACATTTCCTGTGCTGTACTTTACATCCCTGTGACGATTTTGTAACCATCCATTTGGACTTCTTAATCTCTTTGCCTTTTTACAAGTAATTAATTCTTGGAAATGGTGTCGAAGTGGCCCTGCATCCTCTCTGGACGTTTTACACAATACTCCCCCATCTCATCCCTCCCTCCGCCCACCCACCTGTCTCCTGGCAGATTTGTTGAGTGCCGTGGTATTGGTCACCCTTGGCCTCCCAGACAGGCGTGTGCCCCCACCCACCCATTCTTGGGCTCCTAAAGCCCTGGGTATGGTGGCCTCACCGGGCCCACTGTCTCATAATAGCATCTCTTATCCCAAACTGTGGCTCACCGTGATTTTGTGGTGTCGCCTTCTGGATCATGAGGGTGGCATAATGTATCTCCTGAGAGGAGTTGGTTTCTGGGCAAAGGACAAGGACAGAGTTGTTGGGCTCAGCAGCTGAATCTCTGATCATTTGAGGGCAGTGGCTTAGCTCGCTGCCCTTGCAATGGCGTGTAGCCTCTGGGCCCGGCAGAGAGTGCTTACCGTGTTGGTCTGAGGAGACACACTGCCTTGGTTCCCAGCCTGGTGCAGACTCCTTGTCTGTAAAGTGGGAACAACATCGATTGGGTGTTAGTGCTGTTCATGCTGGACGGGGCAGTGAGCTGCTTAGCACTGCATCTGCAACGTGGCCAGCTCTCGGTCAGCGCTGGCTGGGGTTCTTCTTGTTGGTCAAAGTCATGGGTCTGTTTACCATAAAGCAGCATATGATGCCTGCTTTAACAGGGGGTCACAGGGGCTTTGGGACACAGTGAAGATCATTCCAAACTGATATTTTTAAAAATCGCCAAGATATGTTAAGTGAAGACAATCAAGATGTAGAATAGCCTGTCTGTGACACGCTGCCATCACTGCCATTTGTTTAGACAGCATACACACAGCCTCTGTGGAGGGGTTTTTAAAAACTAGTTGTGGTCCCTGGAAAGTGGGAGTGGGCATCAGGGCCTCGAAGGAGACATTGAACCCATACGTCTGTACGACCTTAAAGAAAGATGAAAACCTGAAACCAACCAAGCACACCAATGAAAATATCCAACAAAGTTCTCTTACCTGCTTGATTTTCACAGATATTTGCACGTAGTCCAACTTCCATGGGTGTGTTGCCATAGTCTTTGGATGCCTTCTCTCTCAGAGCTTTTCCTACATAAATTGGTGCAAAATTAATCCAATTAAACCAATTCGGTCACATTTTTCCAATCTCCTCTTCGGAGGAACAGACTTCCCCAAAGTTCCGAAACAGAGAATGACCTTCTCCAAGGGGAAAACCTTGGATTCCTGGAGAAGCCCATAGCCCCCCTTCTCCCAGGCGATCCTCCTGGTTGATTTTCCCAGCTCTGCATGTGGCACCCTCCGCCTGTCTGATGACGTGTGCGATGGCCGGAGACACATTTTCTTTCCTTGTATCTACATATAATGAAACATTCTTCAGATTTAAAAGTGAAGGAAATTCTGACACACGCATGGGCCTTGAGAACATTGTGCTCAGTGACATAAGCCAGTTACCAAAAGACGCATTCTGGATGATTCCATTTCTATGGGGTCATCCCTAGAGTCGTCAAAATCGCAGAGACAGTAGTAGAGTGGCGGAGGCCCAGGCTCGGAGGGAAGAGGAAATGACCGGGGAGTTAGGGTGTGACGGGGGCGGAGGCTCCGCTGAGCGAGGAGCCCGGAGGGCTGTGGACTGGCGGCGGTGTTGGTTGCACAACAGCGAGAGTACTGATGCCGCCACGCTGTGTGCTTCGCTATGGTTAAGATGGTGCAGTTTATGGTTGTATATCTTTACCACAATTTGAAAGTAATTTTCAAAAGTTAAAAAATATATATATATATATATATTCTTGATATATATATCAAGAATTTCAAGCCCTGGCTGATGTAGCTCCGTCGGTGAGAGCGTCGCCCTGTAAACCGAAGGGTCGTGGATCTGATCCCTATTCCGGGTAAGTGCCTAGGGTGCAGGTTCAGTCCCCAGTCTGGGTGCTTATGAGAGGCAGCCGATGGGTATTGCTCTCTCACACCGATTTTTCTCTCCCTCTCTCTAAAATACATAAGCATGTCTTCAGGTGCAGATTTAAAAACAAGAAAAGGAGGAGAATTTCAAGGCACGGACAGCAGCAGAGCATTAAACCCAGCGCGGGCCCTTCTTCGCCCAGGCCCCGCCCCCTGAGCACACGTGGTAAGAAAAGTTCTCCCGGAGAGACCACGGCAGGACTGTCTAACCTTCCCCTGTAGCAGCTTTTCTTCTGTTTTATTTCTTCACATCCGTTTCTGATTCCCCTTCCTCCTCATCCTCTCCCGGGCCACCTACATCCCAAACCCGTGGGAAACAACGGAATAGCTCCTGAAGAACTTACTTGCTTTGAACTTTGACAGTGTCCAAAATGCCAGAATTAGGATTGTTATGAAGAGTATCAGTAACACCGGAAGCAGCAGCTGCAGGCAGAATGGACAGCTCCGTCCTCCTGGAAGAAGACAGCATTCACTGGTCACCACACAGCTTCCTTCTCAATGACGCCGAACTGTGACGTGTTCTGGAGGGGCAGTTACGGCCATCTCCCAAGTTAACCCATGCAACGGGGCACCCCGGCCCCTGCACTGTGGCGGACGCCCACAACTCTCGAGGGTTACCTTGTGAGTCAGCGAAGTTCTTAAAGTCATGACCAAGTGCACCTTCCACAGGGGTCACACAAGGAAGAGAAAAGTAGCACAGCATTTAACAGACCGATTAGTGGCTGCAATGTTTAGGGTCATAATGGCATGTCCATTTATTGGGCAAAGTCCTTAGTCATGTTGGCCAAATCTCTACCATGTATTTAGTGTTAACTACCTGCCAGACACTGTTAAGCACTTTACATGCATTGCCTTATTTATCTTTTAGTATCACTCCCATTTTACAAATGAGTAGAGTAAGACTCAGAGAGGTTAAGCAACTTTCTTGAAGTCACACAGCCAGTAAATGGAAGAGCTGTGATTTGTGGGCAAAAGCCTGATTCTGGGGCCTGATTCCCACAGACTGCCTCACTTGTCAGGACTTGATGCTGGGGTGTGGGCTCTGTACTTCTGAGAGTGAGGCCTGGTGAAGTGTTCAGTGCCCAAGCTGTGCTAACCTAGCTTTTGTCTTACCCTTCTTCTACCTCCACCAGTATCCCTCCAGAAGGAGCCGGAAGGCCAGGTTCGAACCTAGAATTCTCAGACTCCTTGGAGTTCTGCACCAGAACACAGCAGCATGGGGGAGAGCCAGCCCCAGCTCTGGCCTGGCCCCCTTCCCACCCAGGCTCTGACCTGCCCCTTAACGGGCCTTGCATGCATGTGGCCCGGCAGCCTGCATGTCCAATGCCACTCACACCCCCACTAGCAGCTCCCTCAGCTTGGGTGCGGGAATGCTAGCGTCCTCACTGTGGTCCACCTGTGGGGGAGGACCGGCTGGGATAGAGACTCATGTGGGCCCTGTTAGGTGGGTCCTGATCTGATTGGATGGGGAGTTTGGGGCCAGGAACCCAGAGGACGGTTAGAAAAGTGGGAATACGGGGGCCAGGGGGGCACATTCCCATGGCCCCCTGGACTCCTCAGACTGTGAGAATGTGCACAGCCAAGAAGCACCAGAGCAGTGCCCTCCAAAACAGGGGAGGGCCAGGGGCCCCCTGCCCCAAGCTAAGGGTGGTACTGAAAGTCTTGATCCACCATCTCTTAGCGGTGGGGCAACAGGAGGTGTTAGAAGCCAACAAAAAAAGCAGAAGAGACCTGACAGCTCCAAGAGATGCAGAACCCCCAGCAGGGGAAGGTCAAGGCAGGCTTTTTTCTGTGGGTTTTTTTTTTTTCCTGTCTTGTTTTCATGGCAGAAAGCAGTCCCATCTCAGCTCGTGTGGACCCTACCAAAGCAAAGGCACTTGGGAGCAGGTGGCCAAAGTGGGAAGTGGACAAGCAGAAGAAGCTTCTGGAAGCAAGCTCAGACCCTGTTGGAAGAGCTCAGGTAGCCCTTACCTGTTGAGGGTATGGTCACAGGAAGACTGTATTTCACATGGTGAGGAAGTCTGTTGTTAGCTTTACACTTGAACTCCTCCCCTCCTCCAGGGTTCTTGGTTAAATTAAATTCAGCAGGCTCCCTTACATTCTTGATAACTTGTGATATGGTGGTGTTGTTTTCAAAGAAAGTATAATTGATGGGCAGGGAGCCATAGATCGAGAGGCATTGTAGTGTTACGTAATGGCTGGCTTTTCTCGTAATGTTCAGCACTGGAGTGGTTACTGGGTCTAGAAAAATGGAAGTGCATGTTATACAGGGATAGGCAGATTGGGTTCACTCAGTCCGCAAACATGCATTGCACCCCTACTCTACTCCTCCATGTGGACCCAGAGGTGAGGGACACCCTTCTTGAGAAGTCAAGAAGCCTGCAGCCCAGTGGGAAAGGCCAGGGAGCATGTGACTAACCCCATGTGACATGACCCAGGTGCTGAGAAAGCCAGAGAGTGGAGGGTGTCTCTCTGCTTTGAGGAATTAGAGTGAAAACTTGCCTATTATTGGAAATTCTTTGAATAAGAATTCATAATCTCTTTATTGTTGATAATGAGTAGAATTTTGTGAAAGATCCAGTTCCAGTATGAAGCTGGGAGGTGCTTTTATTCCCAATCCTTATAAGGTTATAGCAGGGTTTTTTAAAAATATATATATATTTTGTGGATTATGCTATTACAGTTGTCCCATTTCCCCCTTCACTCCCCTCCACCCTGCACACCCCCTCCCACCCACATTCCCCCCCTTTAGTTCATATCCATGTGTCTTAAGTTCTTTAGCTTCTACATTTCCCACACTATTCTTGCCTTCCTTCTATTTTCTCCCTACCATCTATGTTACTTATTCTCTGTACCTTTTCCCACCTCTCCCCCTCCCACTCCCCTGTTGCTAACCCTCCATGTGATCTCCATTTCTGTGGTTCTGTTCCTGTTCTAGTTGTTTGTTTAGTTTGCTTTTGTTTTAGGTGTGATTGTTAATAACTGTGAGTTTGCTGTATTTTTACTGTTCGTATTTTTTATCTTCTTTTTCTTAGATAAGTCCCTTTAACATTTCATAAAATAAGGGCTTGGTGATGATAACTCCTTTAACTTGACTTTATCTGAGAATTGCTTCATCTGCCCTTCCATTCTAAATGAAATCTTTGCTGGATAGAGCAATCTTGGATGTAGGTCTTTGGATTTCATGACTTGGAATCCTTCTTTCCAGCCCCTTCTTGCCTATAAGGTCTCTTTTGAGAAATCTGCTGACAGTCTGATGGGAACTCCTTTGTAGGTGACAGTCCCCTTATCTCTTGCTGCTTCTAGGATTCTCTCCTTCATTTTAATCTTGGCTAATGTAATTATGATGTGCCTTGGTGTGTTCCTCTTTGGGTCCAAGTTCTTTGGGACTCTCTGAGCTTCCTGGATTTCCTGGAAGTCTATTTGCATTGCCAGATTGGGGAGGTTCTCCTTTATTATTTGTTCAAACACGTTTTCCACTTGTTGCTCTTCCTCTTCCACTTCTGGTACCCCTATGATTCAGATGTTGGAACGTTTAAAGATGTCCTGGAGGTTCCTAAGCCTCTCCTCATTTTTTTGAATTTTTGTTTTTTCCTTCTGTTCTGTTTGGTTGTTTCTTTCTTCCTTCTGGTCCACTCCCTTAATTTGAGTCCCAGTTTCCTCCCCATCGCTATTGGTTCCCTGTGCATTTTCCTTCCTTTCACTTAGTGTAGCCTTCATTTTTTCATCTAATTGATGCAACTAAAATTAACCAGTTCTGTGAGCATCCTGATCACCAGTGCTTTTAACTGTGCATCCAATAGGTTGGCTGTCTCTTGGTCTCTTAGATCTATTGGCTCTGGGGCTTTGATCTGTTCTTCTGTTTGAGCTATTTTTTTTTGGGGGGGGGTCTGGTCACAACTGTTACATATGAGGGGCACAGCCTTAGGTATTCATGGAGGGGGCAACCCCCTCCACTCTCTATGTTGTGATGCTGTATGTGGGGGCAGGGTCAGAGAGGGAGCAATGGCACTTGCTCTGCTCTCTCTTGAATTTCAGTCCTTTCTGCCACTTCCCACAAGCAAATTCGGCCCTTCTGGTGCTGGTTCCCCCGGGTGGGTGGGCTTGTGTACATTCTAGGACCCTGTGGGTCTCTCCAACAAACTCTCCTATGAGGCTGGGAGTCTCTCCCAGCACCTCAACCCCCACAAGTGTTTTCAATCGGTGCTTTTAGGCTTTATTTCCCATTGCTGGAGCCCTGGGTTGCATGGTCTGTCTCACTGCCTATTTTTGCCAGGTTTATCTGCGTGAGAATGTGGGACTGCGGTCAGCCAGCTGCCTTGCGCACCTCACTGTGTCTGCTCGTTGCCACCCCCCTCTGGGGGTCTGCCAGCCACTGCCTGTGTGCCCAGGTCACCAGCCACTGCTTTTTTTTGCTGTGACCCCTCTCTGCGGGCCGCCAACTCTGCCCCTCTTACTGGTCTGGATGAATGATTGTTGGACTTTTTATACAGTTCAATTTTCTGTCAGTTCTGGTTGTTTCTTTTGTTTCTAAATTTTGTTGTCCTTAATTTTGGTTGTGCCAGGAGGCACAGTGTGTCTACCTATGCCTTCATCTTGGCCGGAAGCCCTGTTTTTTCTTTTTTTTTTTTAAATCAAATATTAAAATATCATTTTTTCTAACCGTATTTGCATTTATAGGATTCAGCTGTAACTTCCTCCCCAAATCAGGAAGTAACCCTATAAATAGGTTTAAAGAAACTTCTCAACAAGAAATCTATGTCTGTCAGTTTATACCCTATTTCATGGGACAATCCAGCTGTATGATTTACAATATAATTCATTAATCAAACAGTATTACAGAAAAGGAAGGATAGTTGAATATTCATCATGGGCCAGGCTCATGCCCACATTATCCCATTTCTCTCCACAATGATACTACAACATGGATAGTATCACACCCCTTCCACCTGTGATTCTGAGAAGTTTAGAAACTTCCCCAAGGATACACAGCTAATACGGCCAACACCAACTTCCAAGTAGAGATTTTTTTATGACATCAATTTGGCACAGAACCAATGAAATACAGGGACCAAAGTATAAGTAAAATCAAAGAAAATAATTTAGAGTCTCCTTGCTCCACCCCTTATCTGAGCAGGAGTCAGTCCCTGTGGTGGCATCTTCCACAGAGCAGCATCCAGTGACGGTGGCCTCGAAAAGCAGCTTTGTTTGGGAATAGCACCGATAGCACACTCTTCCTTCAGAACTGAAGTCTGCCCCTCTTAATGCACAGGAAGGAGAAAACCTTTATAAGGAATCAGCACAGACCTGTCTCTGAGATGGGACACTCCACGCCTGGCCAAAGGTTGATATCTAAGGGACTGGGAGGATGGGAACTTTCCAGAGACTTTGTTCAGGACGAGTCAAGGGCATTACAGCTACACAGTCAGCAGGGTGAGGGAGCTGCTCCTCTCCAATAGACTCCTTATATTTTTTTTAATTTCAAGGAGTCCTTTAAGGCTCATTCTGCTGCCACCTTCCTTGTAAGACCTTTCGTAAGTCCTCCAGACAGAGCATTCCCTCCCCCTCTGCCTCCTCCAGCCCTCGTCTCTCCCCCCATATTATTTTCTATGAATTTTTCTACCTCTCATTACACAGTCCACTTGGATGTCTCACGGTCACTTCCAACATAACCTGTTTGAAAATGAACTCTAGGGAACTTGCTGGTATATTCAAATGCTTAGTGAGCCAATCAGTAGGTAGATAAACATATATTAAAATCCTACTCTCTTAAGAAATGTATTTATTTCTTCATGCATTCATTCATTTTGCTGTAGTAAGAACAGTTAACATGAGATGTACCTTCTCGACAAATTTTTAAGTGCACAATACAGCATTGCTAATGATAGGCACAAGGTCGCACAGGAAAATGTCTGTAACTCATTTATCTAGCATAACCAAACTTTATACCCACTCAACAATTTCTGCTCTTGCGTTTTCTCCCATCTCAGTAAAAGGCACTGTGTGTCAGGAGATGATCCCATTAAATATCTGGAAGTCATTCTCGATTCCTGCCCTACCTTTGCTACCTGTGGTTCCAGATTTAATCATCGAGCAAGTCCTGCTGTTTTGTCCTCCCCATCTGTCCATCCCCACCACTGTCTGTCCCTACCACTGTCTCCTGGGTGACTCCAAGAACTTCCTAACCAATCCCAACACGGCTCACCCTGGCCCTGACCCACCTAGACTGAATTAACTTCCAAGGTGATAAAGCCGGGTCACAGGTCTTCCCTGACTTGGCCCCTCCCTCTCCACTCTCGCCTGGAGTCACACCCTCCTCGTCTGACCTCCGGCCACACTGGCCTTCTCAACCAGCCGAGTTCTTTCCCGAGTTGGAGCCCCGGCACAGGCCATTGTCCCTTAACTAGAGCTTCTCTTGCCCTGTCTCCTCTCATAGCTAACTCCTCACCCTTCAGGGCTCCACTTCAATGGCATCTCCTCTGAAAGACCTTCGCTAACCACCCTGAGTAGATCCCTCCCCTACCCCCTGCTTCTCTCCCATCACCATGCTGGTTTCTTTCTCCTTCTAACAATCCACACAGCCTGTGATGATGAGTTTTATTCGTCTGAGTACTTGGGTTTTGTGTCTCCCCAGCCAGACTGTAAGCTCCATCAGGGCAGGAACCAAAGCATAGGCAGGGGTTGGCACAACTGGGATATCATTAAATGATGAAGGCATCAATGGTTACTGAACTTGTGTGCGTGACTCATCTCCCTGGCTGGGTTGGGGAGTAGACGACGTCTTAGGCAACGTCAAAACCCCGGCAGCACATAACACAATTATGTGTACAAGGGAGGCACTCAATAGATTATCTGTTAATCTGACCTAAATGAAAATAATACAGTTTTATAATCTATCAAAACAGCTCTACAATTACTGTAACATGGCAGGAAACTTGAGCATTTATTTGGAAAACAGGATGTGGGAAGATTTTATACATATCTGTGGGTCAGAAAGTTGGGACATGAAGACTTAGGTTTTTATAATCAACTTATTTAAGGTGTCAGCCATCAAGTTTGTAAATCAGCTAAGAATGAGCATATTCACTGCAGGAGTGGAGGTCCCCGTCATTCTAAGGGAGGAAACACACACCAGTGGAGGGTCTTGCCATGTCTTCTCACTTGCATCTCAGTGATTCGATGGGCAATTAGATGCTTTTCTGCCAAGTAAGTGCCTACCCTCCTCACCCGCTTCTGCCCACTGCAGACTGAGATTCTCACCCAGAATCAAACCAAACAGTGTTAGGGTCATACTGCCTATCTTCTCAACTCACACTTTCGTAATTGAGGACCGCAGAGATAATCTAAGGTATATCTCCGCGGAAGACCCGAAGTTGCACAGGAAGTTGTGGTACACAGGTTCCCCACTGTCCCTTTCAGGGCTCTTTCTGCAACGTAAGTATCCCTTGCTTTATGTCTCTTTGCTTTTGTGAAAGACTTACATTACTTCCTGTTTTGGGGGATTTTTGTTTTTACAAAAAAAAAGGGGGGGGGAGGGTGGCAAAAAGCAAAAACGGTGTTCCGCATTGGTTTCGCAAAGAGCTGTTATAGAGGCTTCACGAGCTCCCAGCAGCGAGCGGGGCCCCGCCCAGCTCCTTCCCTGGACCCTCGCTCTGCAGTCAGCGCCAGGGCGCTGAACTGTGTCTGAGCGGCTGTGCCCCATCTCGATTTATTCTCTGCATCCATCAGCAGGACGTGTCCTAAGGTGTCAGAAAAGCCTAAGAGAGCTCGTAAAGGTGTTGTGCTTAGTGCAAAACTGGACGCAGTGAAGTGAATTTGGTGTGATTTGGTAGGTTATTTTGGGGGGTCTGGGAACACGGAAACATTTTTCCATATAAAGAAAAGGGAATTGCTTCTTTGCTTTATGCCATTTCGGCTTACAAAAGGTTTTCATAGGAACACTCTACTTCCAGGAAGTGGCAGAAACCTTCCCAGGCTGCCCAGTGGAGCAGGAGCCTGACAATGAGAGAACACCTTCGGCCGTGGCACTGCCCTCGCGTTTCCCATGCGTCCCGGCGCCGTGTTCCCAGGGGTTTCCTCCTTCTTCACATTTACTTTGTAATTCTGGCTCCTATTCGGTTCGTGTTCAAAATTGTCCTGAGATCGTTGTTTCTAACCCAGAGCCCGCGGCATCCCCTAAAGCCTTGTGCAGAAATTTGCACCTGCAGTCACGTGAGCATGTCTCAGGGAAACTGTCCCTCTCTACCATGATACTGTTAACATGGTTATTACCTAAAAAGCTGAAAGTCACTGACCTAGAGCAGAGGCGTCCGGCAGAACTGCCTGTGATGATGGAAATGGTCTTTGTCTGTGTTGTCTAGTACGAGAGCCCCAGGCACCTGTGGCTACTGAATACCTGAAATTTGACTAAGGAGACTAAGGAACTGAATTATTTATTCTAATTTTTTAAAGATTTTATTTATTTATCTTTAAAGGGGAAGAGAAGGAGAGCGAGAGAGAAATACCAATGTGTGGTTGCCTCTCGTGTGTCCCCTGCTGGGAACTGGCCTGCAACCCAGGCATGTGCCCTGACTGGGAATTGAACCCCGATATTCTGGTTCACAGGCCCACGCTCAATCCACTGAGCTACACCAGCCAGGGCTTTTATTCTAATTTTAATTAAATTGAATTTAAATTAAAATAGCCACATATGGCTAGTAGCTTCCATACTGGAGAGCACAGACCTAGAGACTCACTCAAGGATTTGATCAGTGCCCTCCTGGCTGGTGGATTGGGTGCCAGCTTGCAAACCCAAGGGGGGCCAGTTTGATTCCCAGTCAGGGCACATGCCTGGGTTGTGGGCCAGGTCCCCAGTTGGGGGCATGTGAGAGGCAACCGCACATTGATGTTTCCCTCTCACTTTTTTCCCCTCCCTTACCCTCTCTAAAAATGAACAGATAAAATCTAAAAAAAAAGATTTGATCAGTAAGGCGGGCACCTTTGTTTAGAAGACGCCAGGTGCACTGTACACATATTACCTGGAAACCCTCTCTCCCTCTCCCGGAAGCTCATGATCAAGGTCACTGTCACAGAGAAGCCCATTATGAGAGGCTTAGGGTAGGAAGATGAGAAAGAAAAATATAGAAGTAATAGAATGTGGTCAGGCAGGAAGAACACTGGCTGATGGGGCACCTGCTAGGGGGTCACTGCAAGGGGAAGAGGCGGGCAAAGCCCGGGGCTTTGAAGACCCGTGCCACTGGTCCATCACTGATTCTAAGACTTCTCACTCGAATCTTCAGAGAAAAAGTCATTTTTGCCTACTTGATGGGAATCCTAGAGTAAAGCATCTAGAAAATATTTCAACAATATTCTAAATTGTTGGAAATGTGTGGTAGAGGATATGTTGGTTGATATGTTTTGTCTTAGGCAAAAGTCTTCACATGAGAAAGTGGAATGGAATTATTAAGAATAAAGGTCTCAGTGATGCACTCCCTAGGCTCTAGAGCACAGGTGGCAAACACAAGGCCCGGGGCTGAATCCGGCCGCCCACCTTGTTCTATCCAGCCTGGCACCTTGTTTCTACCGGGTGACAGCGCCGAGCTCCTCGCCCCTAGTTAAGGAGTAGTTACATTTACACAGTCCTAAAGTTGCATTCGGCTCTTTGAAGGCAACCACGAGGCTGATGTGGCCCTGGTGAAAATGAGTTTGACACCCCTGTTGTAGAGTGAGTGCTGACAAGGGGAGCAGAGAGCCTGCTGAGAAGTGGAAAAGAGCCCTCCCCGTCACAGGGCCCAAGGGACACTCGCTCGACTCACCGACCAATGTGAAGTTGAAATCACGACTATATTTTGTACAGTTGCCAGCTTGCGCTTTACATTTGTATGACCCCAAATCGTTGGCTTCTGAGATGCGTAGGTTAAAAGTCACGCTTTCATCTTTGCTATCTTGAGTTCCAATGCAATTTTTATTCCGAAACAGAGAATAGGTGATTGGCGATAGTTTGTTCTGGCTGGAACAAGTTATAGAGACATTTTGACCCTTCACGACCATATTTGTTTCTGAGTTCAAAATTAGAGAAGTGAGTCCTGGAAAACAAAGTCACACAAGAGACAGTTCTTGTTAATGTTCCTTGATAATAATTCAGTAGTTGTCTGGCCACATTTTGTGGGTCAAGATGGTGGACACGCTGTTCTTGGTGAACTTTCCTGAGGGGGCGTTTCTTGCCTACACGGCCAGGCTGACCAGAGTGTGATGAAGCCACAAGGCCTGCAGAGGCCCCTCCCATGAGAGATCATGGCCTTGAGAAGCTCTGTACTTGCTATCTCTCTGGCCAGCTGAACACCCGAAGTGGACTTTCTAAAGACTGTCCCTGCTGACATACAAATATTAAAGTTCCAGGTTCTAAGACAAAATGTTATGTCTGGTAGCTTGTTTTGTCCATTATTTAGTTTAAATTTCTTATTTTGGAAAATCAGAACTTTCAAAATAATAGTAGAGAAGAGAGTATAATGATCCCCAATGACCCTATTACCTGGCTTCAACAATGATCGACTCATGGTCCGTCCTGTTACATCGCTCCCTGCTTTCCACTATTTTAACGCAAACCCCAGACCACATGTTATTTCATCCATAAATGCAGTGTTGAGAATGAGAAAAGCAGGTCAGTACCTTGACTGTTGGGTACTGACTGGCCTGGCTAGGACCTGACCTGTCATTTGCAGCTGGACTACCAGCACCGACAAGGCCACTCCATGACTGTGTTGGATCAAGACAAAAACAACATGACATCATAATTGTGCCTGGCCACACACAAAGACGTGGACATTGTCTGAAGCACAAAAATGGTCAAACATCCCCCTCAATGGATTAATAACAGTGACTGCTGCTGCTTTATCGGTCACAGCTTTTGCTTTGCTCTGTTTTTGCCTTTTAGATGACAATTATTAAGATACCCAATCATATCATTATTTCCACTTCCTAGAAGGATCCAATCCAGAGAAGAGCCTGCTGCTTTGAATCTTCCTCCAAACCACCTAACACAGATAGAGGTCTTATCCCAGGACCTTTCTAATACCTTCCTCGATAAAGACATCGCATGATTTCCACGGTGGACATTTCCTCCCCAGCCCAGCTTTGTTTAGGTGCATGTGTGTCCCTGGTGACCTTTGGCTGGAGGACATTGTATTTCAGAAGATAAGGACTCCTTTGTAAACATAACAATGACCGTTATTGCACATAAAAATTAACAATGTATGTTAAATGTCATCAAATATCTAGTTAGCATTCAAATTTTGCCAGTTGTCTGATTCTTTATTTTTTTTTAGTGTTCAAAATGATCTATTGTAATTAGCTGATATATTTCTTATGCTTTTTTAAATCAGAAGACCTTTCCATTTCTCCTCCCCCCCCCCCCCAATTTCTGGCAATTTATTTGGTGGAGATAGCAAAGGGTTTGTTCTATAATGTTCTGCATGGCCTGGATTTTGTAGGTCACACTCCCATGGCATCCTCTACCATGTTGCTCTGTCCCCTGTCCAGAGGCTTGGTGAAATTCAGGTCAGCTTTTTTTTAGTAAGCATGCATCATAGGGGCTGGTGTGTACTTCTGTGAGGACGCATCTGATGTCCGATGATCTCTCTTTTTGTTTGTTGGTGGGCCTGGACAATAGTCACTTGAAGCATTATTTCCTTAGAGGTGACAAAATGATAATATACCAGTTCTATTATTCTTTCTTCATTTATTATCTGAAATTATCTGAAGAGAAACTTGCCCTTCTCCACTCTTTGGTCATATTACAGTAATTTATCGTTATTTTTTGTTGTTTAAGAATCATATGAACTCAGTTTTAAATATATGCAATGTGTTTCAATCCATTGAGGTTATTATTCTTATTGTCCCATTTTTGGGCCATGGAAAGCATCTCCAAACTGTCCTCTGAGCCCTTTTGACATGATTCCAATAGTCTTTGATAGCTTGTGTGTTTGTATTTTATTATTCAAAAATGCCAAGGGGGTGGGCGGTGGGAACAGCCCTTATCAGGAAATTTCATTTAAGAAAAAAGATTATAAAAGAATGTAGAGGAATATAGGAAAATGCTTTTATGTCACCTGCTAGGAAAAGGTCTTCCTAATAAAACACAACAAAGAGCACCCATAGAGAAAAGACCAAAAAAGTTGACTACCCAGAAAACTTCTCTATGGCAAATTTAAGACAAATGATAGATAGCTTAGAAGAAAATACTACTTAAGCCACAAATGAAAGCAAATCAGTAAGAAAAAGACACACACTGTCAAATAAATGGGCAAATAATATAAATAAGTGATCTCTAGAAAAAGATATGTGTCAGGCCATTAAATAGTGCTGGGGCCGAGGGAAGGTGTGGGTAGAGGAGGAAGGCACTTAGACCCCTCAAAAGTGCCATCAACCTCCCTCCAGCCCTTGATTTGGAGAATTAACATTTTCTAGTCTTCTGTAAGCTCAGCTTCAAGACAAGACGTCACCTCTCTTTCCGACCAGATGGCCACTCCTGAATCTCCTTTATAGGGGAAGGTGAGAGCGTTCATGGTCAATACACATGAAGAAGATGCTCAACCGAATGAGTGATGAGGCAACTGCAAATTGTGATATTATTTTTTACTCATCGGATTGGCACAAATTAACAAACTTTAGAGAGGGGATGGGGAAATGCACTTCCACGTGAGAGGTCGCTGCTGGAGAGCATGAACCAATTCAGTGTGTCGGGAGGACCTCTGTAAGGATCGAAATGGACCTGCCCTTTGACTCGGCGATTTCATTTCTAGGATCTCATCCTACAGAGATGCTCTCACACTCTCAGGTGTCCACAGAGGGATTTTGCACAGGGATGTTTATTGCGGCATTGTTTATATTAAAAAAAGGGGGGACTCAAAATGGGACTGGTGAAATGAATTATGGCTGAGTCTTATTATGAAATGCCATGCTGCTTGTTGGAGAAGAAAAGAGCTAAATATGCATTTAGTACTTAAAAAGATGCCTGTGATTTGTTGTAAACAAAAACAGGACAAGTCGCAGAAGAATTTGTTTACTCTGATATTGAAGGGAAAATGGCTCGATAGCTCTAGCTTCTGGAAGTGGAGGGGGAGAGATTGGAGGAGGGTAACAGAACTTTCACGTTTATACACTGACAACCACTTGGGCTGGCATCTCTTGGCGGCTCACCCGTACCAGGCACTCAGAGCTACGGCTTGTCTCACTCAGTTGTCAAAACAGCCCTCTCAGGTAGGTGCTTGTACTACCCCCAATTCACAGAGGAAAGAAATTTATCTCATGTACCCAGGCCACTGGGTTTAGGACCACAATTGTGGTCTTAATCTAGTTTTGTGGTGATAAACTGCCTCCTAATATATATTTTTAATGCTGCTTGAATTATTTTACACTGACTGTGTGTTGCTTTTCTAATTAAAAAAAAAAGGGACAGTGAAAGAAACATTTCATTGTAAAATCCAATCTCAATATTTTATCTCTGGGTCTCAGGAAAGATACTCCAACTGCCTCCCTAAAAAAATCATTTCATTTTAAACGGCAGGTAATGGGAAAAGTTTCACTCTGGTCATTCATCAAAAAGCATAGAAAAACTTACTCAGGATCCATCATGTTTAAAGCTGACCATCCACTGTCTTGTTTTTTTTTGAAGACAGTTTTAGTACAAGAGAGAAGTAAATGAAACTTACTGTTTGTTTTTGCCATTTTCTCACAATCCGGTTCTGCTTTTAGAGTTGAAAGAGAGCAAAGGAGCAAAAAAACCCTTTTTCTCCACATCGCGGTTTGGTTTCGAGATGCAGAGAGGCAAGCCTCAGATGTGACAGAAGAACAAATGTCCCAGTGCGTTCATATGGCTCCGTGTGCCCCTAAATGAAATTGAAGAGGAGGCCCAAGGAGGCCTGGTGGCTCCCTGGTGGTGAGTTATTTAGAGAACTTCCTCCTTTCTGACCAAGTTAAAGAAACACCGTTGTCTGCAAAAACTTGACTGGGTTCCTCAGTGACTTCTGTTAAGGAGAGAGAGATGTGGTGGGTTGTGCAAACTCAGGATGGGAAGTTGAACAGTGGGGAAAAGAACACTAAAAATATGATTGTTCTGCTGTCCTTATAGAAACCCACCTGATCATCTCTCGCTGGATTTAACCTGCATCAAAAGGAACTTCACGGAAGTTGGCTTTAGTCTTGGGAAGCAAATATTGACTGTCTGTGGTAGACACACAGAAGCAATGGCATCAGAAATACCTGATTTTCACCCTGGCTGGTGTAGGTCAGTGGATTGAGCGTGGGCTGTGAACCAAAGAGTTGCTGGTTCAATTCCCAGTCAGGGCACATGCCTGGGTTGCAGGTCAGGTCCCCAGTGGGGGTCACATGAGAGGCAACCATACACTGATGTTTCTCTCCCTCTCTTCCCCTTTCTCTAAAGTAAATAAATAAAACCTTTAAAAAATATATAAAAAAGGAATACCTGATTTTGTTAAATGATGATTCCTAGGCCCTGCTATAGACTCAGTAGGGATGAAACCTGGGACTCTGGGTTTTAACAATGGCCGCAGCTGTCTCTGAGTCTCTAAATTACATCCCAGAGTGTGTTGTGTTTCACTTCTACCTGATCCACAATTCTGGCTCTGTGAGGTGGACGTAGATGAAGCCACACATTCCAGTGTCCCCACTCTGAAGTGGGGGGTGGGAAGTGCTGAGGCCCCCCCCCCCAGTGGAGAGAGCTGTGACTGGGCCCCTTGGGTTATTGATTCTTGTTGCCACCCAGGGTGGGCCCCGCAGATCTCACACATTCCTGTGGCCAGGTGCCCTCTCCGTGGGGAAGCCAAGTCCCTGCCTGGCTGTGGGTTCTTCTCGGACATCATCCCATCTCTCGTATCCGCTCCCCCTGGTCCTCCTTGCTTGGGCTCCCTAGGTCCCGGCCTGCGGTGGTTAGGCATTCCCAGTCCCAGACCTAACCCCCACTGGGTTCTGAGCAGAGCCAGGGCCTGCTGCCAACACGCCCGCTTCCTCCCAGACTGGCCACTACTATCTGGAAGCAAATCCTCTTATTTAGACCTCAGTTTGTAAAAGGCCTTCATTTGTTTCAGATGGTAAAAGTTACTTCTCAGGCACCTACCTACCTTCTATAAAAATGGTGCACGGACTTCCGCCAAGATGGAGGCATAGGTGGATGTCCGTGCCTTCTCACACAACCAAGTTTGGAGACGACTAAATATTAGCAACAGAAAACACAGCCAGAACACAGAAAATTGAACTTTTCGGAAGTCCATTAACAACAAATTCTTCAGTCTGACCGGTAAGGGGCGAAACCAGCAGCTGGTAGAGCGGGGTTGCACAGGAAGGCTCAGTCAGACAGACTCGGGCTCGCGGAATCCAGGCGCAGGGTTGGACCTAGTGAGCGACCGAGGGAGCGACCAGGCGAGCAACTGCGGGGGAGACAGCGGGGGAGCGGTGCTGCGTGTTGACTGTGGTCGCGAATTTGTGCACGGATAGATGGGGGAGGGAGTGGGCGGTTGGACCGGGACCCAGCCGGTCCCGCGGCAAGTGGCAGGGAGGGCGCCGCCATTTCCCTGCTCTGACCCCACCTCCACATACAGCATCATAACCCAGCGACTCTGAGTGGCCCCGCCCCGGTGAACCACCTAAGGCTCTGCTCCTACCCAGTGGTGCGAAACAGCAGAGGGTGCCGCCATTTCCCGGCTCTGACCACGCCCCCACATACAGCGTCACAACCCAGAGACCTGGGAGTCCAAGGCTCCCTTCCTCACACTTAAAGGGCCAGAACAGACCAAAAATGGATCAAGAAGATCTCAAAGCCCCAGAACCTATAAATCTAAGCGATGAAGAAATAGCAAAACTCTCAGACGCACAGTTTAAAACACTGGTCATCAGGATCCTCACAGAACTGGTTGATTATAGCCACAAATTAGACAAATATATGAAGGCGAAACTAATTGAAATGAATGGAATTGCACAGGAAACCAATAGCAATGAAAAGGAAACTGGGACTCAAATCAACGGAGTGGACCAGAAGAAAGCAAATAATGGCCAAACAGAAAAGAGTCAAGAAACAAGAATTCAAAGAAATGAGGAGAGTCTTAGGAACCTTCAGGACATCTTTAAACATGCCAACATCCGAATTATAGGGGTACCAGAAGGGGGAAAGGCACAGCCACCTGTGGAAAACTTATTTGAACAAATAATAAAGGAGAATTTCCCCAATTTGGCAAAGGAAATAGACTTCCAGGAAATCCAGGAAGCTCAGAGAGTCCCAAAGAACTTGGACCCAAGAAGAAACACACCAAGGCACATCATAATTACATTAGCCAAAATTAAAATGAAGGAGAGAATCCTAGAAGCAGCAAGAGCTAAGGGGACAGTCACCTACAAAGGAGTCCCCATCAGACTGTCAGCTGATTTCTCAAAAGAGACCTTACAGGCAAGAAGGGGCTGGAAAGAGGTATTCCAAGTCATGAAATCCAAAGACCTACAACCAAGATTGCTCTATCCAGCAAAACTTTCATTTAGAATGGAAGGGCAGATAAAGTGCTTCTCAGATAAGATCAAATTCAAGGAGCTCATCATCATCAAGCCCTTATTATATGAAATGTTAAAGGGACTTATCTAAGAAAAAGAAGTTAAAGAAACATGAACAGTGAAAGGACAACAAACTCACAGTTATTAACAACTACACCTAAAACAAAAGCAAACTAAAAGGACAGCTAGATCAGGAGTGGAAACATAGAAATGAAGATCTCAAGGAGGGTTAGCAACAGGGGAGTGGGAGGAGGAGAAGGGGGGAGAAGGTTCAGAAAATAAGTAGCATAGACAGTAGATAGAAAATAGATGGGGGGGCAAGAATAGCATGGGAAATATAGAATCTAAAGAACTTGAGACACATGGTCATAAACTAAAGGGGGGGTAATGGTGGGGACGGGGGTGTAGGGTAGAGGGGAATGAAAGGGGGAATAGAACAACTGTAACAGCATAATCAATAAAAAATATTTTAAAAAATGGTGCACGGTGATCGACAGTGATTTTCCTGCTGCAATATTGATGACAGTTTCTTTCACTAAAGAAGAGGAAGGACAAGGACCCCACGAGTTGGATCTCTGGCAGAATGACCCTGCTAAGGGAGTTGGGGGTTTTGTTTTTGACACTTTCCCCACCAGCATCTCATCCATCCTTGCCTGGGCAGAGAGAGGGTGGGCTTGGCCCCTGACGGCCCTCGTGCCTGGGAAGACTGGGAGGGCCTTTCCGGAACAGCTGACTTGTCTGGGGCATTTGTGTGTCTGCAACTTCCAGCTGGGGCAGGAAGCTTGCAGACCACAGTGCAGACGCAAATAAAGCAGAGGAAACCAGAAGACGCACTGCTTACAGCTGTTAGTAAACACTGCTGGGAGGCCGCTGGAAAAGGAACAGGATTTGTCAGAGGTTACGCAACACAGCAGAAGGGACAGCTCACATGGAGAAAGACAAGTTCACCCGTGGGCCTGGCGTGTTCCTTGGGGCCCAAATCTTGCCAGATCCACATTGTCGTGGTCCACAGTAATTCACTGTATTGATAAGATGGGTAACCATAAATATAGTCATACGAAAGCTAAAGTAACTTTATTCCTTTCTGTTGTCTAAGACCTTTACACCGGCAATCTCATTTAATCCTTACAAAATCTCAATGCGGCATGCAGAGGTATTACTGAAAATATTTAACAACCAGCAGAGTAATATAAATATGTAACTCAGTGTATGGACTAAACATTTTAAATATATTCCATTACCACTCTTGCTTTGTCTCTAAGTAATCTAAGCTATATTGCCCAGCTCTTAACAAGTGATATAAAGTTTCCTGTAAATTGTTAATTGAATCATTAATTTCTACAACTCTCATAATTTTCATAATTCCCACAATTTTGTTGATGTTTGTAAGTGATTGGTGTGGTCTTTGGAGACATGGCTTGGCTCACTGTCTGGGATCATTTGTCAGGGGAGCTGCCTTGAACTTTTCCAGTGAATTTCTTGAAATTGGTGGCCTTTGAAATTTCTTTTCATGTCCATGCTGTTGGCCATGGTGTTAAATCCTCAACTCCTGATGAACAGTAACAATGATAAAATTTTTTAAATGTCCCAGTCCTTCTAATAATTGTCTGAAAGTTTTCTATATCCAATATTTCTATTATCTTATATTTCTAAATCACAAAAATCATTAAATCCACTAGCTTAGTTTTATTTATCCTCCCACAGAACCTGCGGAAGGATACCATTTGGTAAAGTCTCAGGATTTAATCAATTTAAATGACTTTAAAATTCATTTATTTTCATTTCTGCCCTTAAGCAACAAATGCATTTTCATATGACAATTTATTTGGAAATATAGCTTTTCACTTGGAATCGATCCCTTATTTGTGTTGGTGCAGCAGCACACCATATTTCTTCGTTTTGACATAGTGCCTTCCACTTTGCTTTCATTCATCTAACTTCTCTTGTGACTCAAAGTATTCAAGTCTGTAAGAATATCGCTACTGAAGGATAAAGCTCCCTAAAATGTTTCATTTTCCAAAGATGTTACTATTTCCATTAAAATAAGCATGCAGGACTTCAGAGTGTCCAACTCTGCAGCTGCCGCATCACAAGCTCCGCAGAAGGTCCCAGAGCCTCTAGGTTTCCTGGTCTGGAGTCCCTGGTCTCCAGTCCCGAGCCTTGACATACGTCACTACTTAATTCTCTCTGATGCTAATAGGATAAAAGATGGTAAATAGAAAGTTTATCAGGAAAATGCTTTCAATGATTGACATGATTCACATCTTTAGCCACATCCCCTGGAGATGGAGGGTCGGACACCTGGGCACAGGATCCTGAGCAACAGAGCCTGAGATGGGTGTGACTGGGGGGAAGGGGAGGGGACTGGCAAGCAGGAGAGAGCAGAGGGAAGGAACTGAGCACAGACAACCGTTCAGCTGGAGCTGGCCCGCTGCCTGCTCCCATGGTGGAGGTTGTGGTGGGTGTGAGTTGTGGCAAGGGGAACTGTTTTTTTTATCCTCACCCAGGATTTTTTTTTTCCCCCATTACAGGGCAAGAGGAAGGGAGAGAGAAACATTGATTCAAGAGAGAAGCATCTGCTGGTTGCCTCTCTTTCACGCCTGGACCAAGGGATCAAACCAGCAGCCTAGGTATGTGCCCTGACTGGGAATCGAACCTACAACCTTTCCGTTTTGGAACGATGCTCCAACCGACTGGGCCACACCAGCTAGGGCACGGGAGCCGGGGTTTTCCACCCTCCTATCATTCTGTCATGGGTCATGGGTCTGGGGAGGGCATGTGCACAGAACCTCCTGGGCGTCCCTGGACAAGCTGCCCCGCTGCATGCCGAGCTGCTCCACGCAGTCTGGAAGAGG